CTGCTCCCTGCCACATAAAAGTTTGGGACCACACACTTGCTGGCATCCTGAGGTTCTAACCACCTGCTAGAATTCATCAGTTCATAGAAAGGGGTTCCACCTGAGAGTCTGGGGTCAAGTGGAGGATTCCATGGGTCCATTTCATCCCTGCTCAGGAAGAAGAAAGGGCACCTCCTTCCCGAAGGTCGGCGGGCCTCCGGGCTCCCGGAGTTCCTGTGTATCTTCAAGGTTTTAAAATTACCACCTCTGGTTCCTATTCCTCTCTGACATTGCAGAATGGTTATTACTGATGATTAACCAAATGAACGTTTAAATTTTAGAAGTCAAGCCACTTTTAAAGGCCCATTTTATACAATTTATGACACTTTCTCCCTCTCTACCCTCATAATTCCGAAAGCTTTTATAAGTATAAATGTGTGCTAGGATTCGCTTTAGGTTTTTCCCTTCTATTTACAGCAGGTACGGGTGCTTTTGGTTTTATTAAGCCTTTTAGCGCTATTTAACTTTTAAACTAAGCATGTATTGCTTTTAAGAACTAATCCAATAAAGACGTTCAGAACTTGAGACATGAAAATAAAACGTGATCCCGCTATTTAAAGAACCATCATGAAAATGCCGACGTATTGCTTCCCGGCCTGTTCGTCTGCCTCTCCTGATGCTTCCTGCGGGTTTAGTAACATACGCGCCTCTTGTCTCTTTCTGTTCGTCCAACCCAAGGACAGCATTTCCCAGATTATCAAAACATTCTTCAAAAACGTTGTGTCCATGTTACATACACGTTAACAACAGGACAGCAAAAACCAAAATGCTTTCAGGCGCCCTCACCCACGTGGGCGGTACAGTCCCATGAGGGACGCAAGGCTCGAAGTGTTTCCCACCTCCAGTTGAGGATCCACAGCTCAGAGGTGGGACGGAACTTGGGTGGTTCTGCTCACAGGCTCGGGTACCATTTATCAGCTGTGTGACCTGCAGCCCAACAGTGAATCTGAGATTTATTGAGTCCAAAGGTCACGTCACCATAGGGGTCCTGCTTAAGGAAAAGAATAAAGACCTCACTCTTGAAAAGTTTTCTAAAATGTGATCCTGTGAATAAATTGCTTTCACCCCTCCCATGGCCATGCAAAGGCCCCGTGCACACGAAGAGCCCAGAGCTCAGGCTTCACTTGCTTTAAGATAAATAAATCTGCCTCCGCCTGGGCAAGAGACTTAACCTACCTTCATCTGCAAAATGGGGACAACAAAAGTGACTTTACCTTTTCTTAATTTGGGACAACTGAAATTCTCGATTACATTACCAGACCATACTCTACACTCTGCAAGCTCATCTCTTTTGCTAATAATAATAATAATAATAAAACAAAACAAAACAAAACAAAACAAAACAAAACCATGGCCACCTCGGGAAGTTCTTGGGGAAAGCGTCCTGTGTCAGGAAAAGTAATTAAGCTCTGGGGTCCTAAAGGAGCCTGGGAAAGTCTAGGCAAAAACTAGGGAGGTGGGTCTATTTAAAAACAGAACTGGACTTTGCGAGTTTTATCATGTCTTGGCTTATTAAATCCACTAATTGAGAATTAAATTTTCCAGATTGTTACTTTTATAACAGCACTCGAGTGTCAGAAAATCCCCTGACCGGTCAGCACTGGATACAAGTAGAGAAGATACGAAGTGACTGTGGGTTAAGCACCACCCCACCCCAAACTAAGTACGTTTGCTTAGTGCTTTGTAATTTACAGCGACTTACCTTTCACCGTCATTATCCATCGGCTCAAACAACCCCCCGAGGCAGGTGGGACGCTGGATACTAGCCTCTTCTCAGAGACCAGCGTGCTGAAGCTGAGCTCGGCTGGGGGGTCGGGTCTGTCAAACATCACCCTCCTAGACTCTCAGGAGGCCCTTCGATTTTGTGGGCGTCTTCAGAAAACCACCCGATCTTTGCATAGGTGTTCCTGAAGCACTCTGGTCTACGGAGGGCGGCCCAGGCTGCATGGAATGCCAGTGGGCACCTGACCACAGGCAGCTCTCCATGAGTTCGTCGGGTCGGAGTTTGAGCTTATCCTCCAAGTGGGCTCAGATGTGTGATTTCATTGAACACCTGCAGTTACGGCCGGGTACAGATCTGCTGGGGGAGAAGGACACCTGTCAGTTCCACAAAGTGTCACACACACCGTCCTGGGAATGACCCAAGGACCCCAGGGACTCTCAACAACATGGGTTTCTGATTTAACCTGCCTGAAATCTTAACACTGCAGGTAGGAGGGCAGGATGTGTGCAGGCCTGTCCCCCAGCAGGAGCAACCCTGGGTGGGGGAGCCCCCATTTACCCGTGTGCGGGCCTCACTAGCAGTGGACGCTGAGGAACAACTTTACTTTCATGGTGTTGTTTGAAAAAGGAAACCCCACTTGGCCCAATCGGGAGGTTATTAAATTCCTGGAAACGGAGCTGAGAGGCCAGCAAAAAAGCCTGTGGTGTTGGCAACATGTAAACGCGGAGGCCCTGGGAGTCCTTTCCCTGTCTGCCCTGGCCTTTATAGGCCCTGAGCAAGGCCATTCCCGGCCAGGACCCTCTCCACGGAGAACCTCCTTCCTCCGGGCACCCCCTCCTCACCCACAGATGAGTGGGACGGGAGCCCACAAACCAGGTTGAAAAAGACAAGAATTCACTAGAGTACTAGGCGGTGGCTCTCCAGAGGACTTGCCACCGCCTCTGCCCCACCTCTCTCCCTCTCTCTGTCTCACGCACACCCCAGACTCAGGGAAGCTGACACAAACATCCTGACGAAATAACCACTCTGAGCGCCTTCTAAGCCTCATTTCCCCGAGGAAATAATCAGCACCTCTTCTCCAAGACAGCTCCAGGTGAGCAAGAAGGGAACACCTTCCCGTGCTCAAAAGTAAAGGCGTTTGCGGCACTGCCCACTGATTCCCGAGCGCGCTCGCATCTACTGTCACAGTCAATTCTCCGAACCCACGAGGTGGCCGGGGCAGGTACGACCTGCCCCCTCCTTTCACGCATGGCACACCGGGGCCCGGGCGCTCGCGCTCCTCCCGGGCTCACGCAGGGAGAGAACACCCGGGAGCCTCCGCCTGTGCGCCCCGAGCCCGCCCCGCGGCACCGGCAGGCCCCCCGCGTGGGACCGTCCGCGTGGCGTGCAGGCTGTGGTCAGTGATTATCCGTGCGCAGGCAAGTGTCCCGCCGAGCCGCGCGGACGCCGGCGCTCTCCACACCGTAGCCCCCTGGCTGCCCTGTTGAACTGCAGCCCCCGGCCGGCCGGGCGCGGGGACGCGGCGAGCCCAGGGGCGCCGGGAACAACGTAGAGGGGCGCGCGCGGGGCCCGAAGGGGCGTCGGCGCCCGTGGCTGCGCGGCAGCAGGGGCGGGACTGGCGGCGGTCGGCGGCAGGCGGTGAGCCCGGCCCGGCCCCCCAGTTTCTTTTCTTCCCCTCGCGCTCGGAGGCGGCCGTGGAGCTCCGGAAGGGGGCGCAGCTCGCCGTCCCTCCGGCTGGTCCGCGCCCTCCCCTCCGCCGCCAGTCCAACTCCACCCCGACAAAGGCACAAAGAACGGCGGGCAGGGGCGCACACCTCCCGTCGGGGTGGGGCTGCGGGAGGGGCCGGTTAACGCCCGCTTCGTTTTAGCGTGGGCCTGGCCCGTTCACGCCACCGGGCAGCATGCCCGCCGCGGGCGGGAGGGGATCCGAGCGGCGCGCGCACGCCCGCGCCGCCCGCCGGAGCCATGTCGGCGTCCCCTGCGGTGGCGGCGCGGTGTCAGGCATCGGCACACAAGATTATTCGCGGGGTTTCGTCTGGGCGCGGCAGCGTGCAGGACCCCGCCCCGCGCCTTCCGGATCGCCGGTCGCAGTGGCGGGCTGCGTCATGCGCTGCGGCGGGTTCCGAGTTCTCCGATCCGCAGTTTCAAATACTTGACGGAGTGCTGCCCGGGGACGAACTGCGGGCGCGCGCGCGCGAGAGGATGCGGGCGGGCCTATGCCTTGTGGTGTTTCAGGCTCCCGCGCAGGTGGGCAACCCGCGCCAGGAGCCGACTTTATGCGCGCACCGGGACCCTGAGTCCCGCTTTCGTGTCCGAGGATTCCGGACCGCCCTTTGGGCGGGACAGACCCTTCCAGTGGCACCGTGGGCTCTAGGGTGGCTTATTTGGGGACGCTAACGGACTTTCGCGGACCGCTCGCTCAGAGCCGGGCTGCTGGCAGCAGAGCTGGGGCGCATTTTTTCCCTTTCTCAATCGCGCGAGGGAGTGAGATCTGGGGACAGACTGTCCTCGTCGATAGTACGCGCGAGTGTCCCGGAGAGCTTGCCGGTCCTGCATTAGACAACAAAGAGAGGCGCTAGCGGTGGCGGGGGGAGGGGCGCGGCCGGGAGGAGACGGGCGGCTGCGGCGAGCGCGGGGTGGGGGGCGCTCGCTCCGCCTGCCCCGACTGCGGGCTCCCGCCCGCCCCTCGGCCCGGCGCGCGCAAAGGCGTTCCGCCTCCCAGCGATATACAGTGTCAGCAGCATATGTCAGCCCGCCGGTGACGTTATGCTCTCCCTGTCCTCTCCGGAGCCGTCTGGTTGCAGAGGCTCAGTCAAGAGGCGGGAGGAGAGGAGGAAAAGCGCTGAGAGGGCGGCGGGTGGGCGGAGGGAGGGAGGAGGAGCCGGGGAGGGCTCCTTAAAGAAACGTTGCTGTCGCTCGCCCGCTCGGTCTCGCTCGGCTGGCCAGCCAGCCGGGCAGCACTTTGGCAGCCACGCGCGGCTGCCGCCTTTGCCTCCACCCCACCCGCCGGCAGATTCTGGGGGACTCAGGCGGGGGTTCCCAGAAGCCACCTGCCCGGCGCGGACCGCACCGAGCGCCCCACCTCCCCTCCTCCCGGAGCGAGAAAGGAGCAACGGAGCCCTCAGCAGCCGGCCGGTTCTCCCCGCCCCCTGACCACTGCTTCCCGGCTCACTCTCCTTTGCCGCATTTCTCGCCGCCGAGGGTCGGTGGGGGCGGGTGAGCAGCGCACGGCTGAGCGATGCCCAGCTCCCTGTTTGCAGAGCTGGAGCGCAACGGCAGCGGCGGCGGAGGGGAGGCGGCGGCGGCGTGGCGGCGGCGGCGGCGGCGGCGGGGGAGAGACCCCTGATGACCAAAGAGCCCTGCAGCTAGCGCCTGATCAGCCTCTGCTGGGGCTGGGATTAGTGACGAGGGCGCCTCTTGTACGACAGTGAGCCGCGCAAGAAGAGCGTAAAATGATGACCGAGTGCCGGTGCCCAGTTCCGAGCACGTCGCCGAGATCGTGGGCGGCAAGGTGGGGTCCGGCAGGGATGGGGGGGGGGGGGGGGGTGGGGGAGAGGGTTCGGGCCACTGCCCGCGGGGGGAGGGCGCGGGAGTGCCTGGGATTCATGGCGCCCGCGAGCCTTGATGAGAGGAAGAGCTGCGCGAGGCCGGGCGCCCCAGACAAAGAAAAGCAGGCAGGCTGTTCTGTTCTGCTGCTGCCATTTATGGGGATGCACATCCTGCTGTACCACTGCCTTCCTTCTATGCCCCCCACCCAACCCACTGGGAAATAGAATTTAAATATAAGATGCTTGGGGAGGGGGCCTGATGGGTCCTTTGGGAGGGGAGGAGGAGGAGCATCGGATGGGAGGAGGATTTGGATTTCTGCAAAGTGAATGGAGCCCAGAGGAGGAACAATGGGTCCCTGCCTCCCATCAGTCCCCCAGCTCTGGTGGTGGGGGGCGGGCGGATCGCGGCTCCGGCCCCTTCCCCGGACCCCTTTCGCCTGCTCCTCAGGGCGGACGGCGCGCCCCGCTGGATCCTAGCGGCATCTCCCCAGCCGCCGACTTTTTCTGGGATTCTCGGGTTTGCTCGGGACGACCAGTCACCGGGGAGGACTGGGCAGCCACGGGCTGTTCGAGCGCCTCGCGGGTGGGAACCCGCTTCAGCCGGTGGCGTGGCCCGGGGTCAAAAGAGGGAGCCTGCCCCTTCTGCCCAAAGCGTGTCCTGTTGTCCCGGCAGCCCCAAGGCGCGGGCGGTCCAGGTCTCCGCGGTTACCCCGGATAATGGGGCGGGTCTGTCTCTCTCCCACTCCCCTCCCCCTGCACCTGGCCCCAGGGTTGTAAAATCAAAGCGCTGGGTGGGCGAAGACACACTTACATCAAGACCCCGGTTCGGTAAGAGTGCTGGTCTTTGTTGTGACGGGCAGGAAGGAGGATGTGGCCATGGCTCGGAGGGAGATCATCTCTGCCGCGGAGCACTTCTCCATGATCCGCGCCTCGCGGAATAAGAACACGGCGCTCAACGGCGCAGTGCCCGCCGCCCAACCTGCCTGACAGACCACCATCCAGTGCGGGTGCCCTATCGCGCGTGGTGGTGGGCTCGTAGGGGCCCAAGGGCTAATGATGCGGCATCCAGCAGCAGACGCACACGTACATCGTGACGCCCAGTTGAGACAAGGAGCTGCGTTCGGTAGGATCGGGCATGCCTGAGAACGTGACCGAGCTCGGGCGAGGAGATCGAGGGCTTATTGCCCCGTCGGCTGCCGTATCATTGAGCTCACGAGAACGACTTCCACGCCAACGGCACGGATGTGGGCTTTGATCTTTGCATCACGGGTCCTGGGCGGGGTCCGCCTGCAGCCTCTGGAGCAAGCCCACCCCAGCATCACGCCCACCCCGGCCGCAGTTTTTCCTTCTTCAGTTACCCAACGACAGCTCCAGCTCGCCGGCAGCGCGCTGCCTCCACAGGACTTACTTCATGGGGGACCGGCGGCAGCACACATTACCCCTGGCCGCTTCTAGCTAGCGATTTATGAGATGCCCAGACGCCATGCCATGCTGGCTCAGGCCCAGACTGGAGATGAAGGATGACGCAGATGGCTGGGATGACATACAGCACGCGGCGTGGGGGAAGCCTGCCTTCCCCCGACGAGCGTCCCGAGCTACCGCCCACCTCACCCGCCGCCCCGGGCCGCCTGGGGCGCCCCTGCCTGGGCTCAGTCGATAACTCTCGGGGCGGTCTTGCGGCCTGCCCCTTTTCTCCTGCTCTTCCTCCCCTCCGCGCTCCTTCCGTCCTCCCTCGGTGGTCTTTTCCCGGGGCGGTGCCAGCGCGCCCTCCAATGCCAACCCGGCTACAGGCATCGGGGCTGGCTGCACCTGGGCACCAGCTGCCTGCGCCTGTCCCGCCCCTGCACATGGCGCCGGGGACGGGCGCAGCACTACCTGGCGCGCCGGGTGCGTGAAGCGACTCCGGGCGAGGGGCCTGACCTACGCCGCTCATGCCAACGGGGCTGGGGGCCTGCAGCTGTCGACACCTCCGCTCGTCGTCGTCGTCCAGCTCTCCTCCAGCCTCCTCCTCCGTCGTCGGGGCCTGGGCGGAAGGGCAGCCGCGACTGCTCCGTGTGCTTCGAGAGCGGAGGTGATCGCCGCGCTCGTGCCCTGCGGCCACAACCCCTGGGCCGGAGGGGCGCTGTCCGGTGGTCTATGAAGATGGTGCCCCGCCCGGTCTGCCACACCATGTGTCACCAGGCCATCCCGTGATCTTTCTTTCTCTCTGAAGGCGGCGCGCGCCTGCAGACCCCAAGGTGGGGAGCAACCCACTCCCCTCCCCTCCCCTCCTCCCCCTCCGGCCTCACTCCCCCACCCCCCACCTCTGTCCGGGTGCCCACCGCTGCCTGGTGCGCGCCCCACCTTCTCCTCTGTTTCCCTCACTCTGAGGTCCAGAGGAGCTTGGAAAGCTGTAGTATCCGCTCATTTTTAAAATGTAATTTTTAAACAAAGGAACTTGCCAGGATATCTACAGCTAAGAGTATCAGAAATGGGAAGCCTCTGATCTGAACCACCTGAAATGCATGCTCTATAAATAATAGGAACGGCGACATTCTAGTCATGATAGTTTTTACACTGTACTTAATAGGAAGCTTCCAGAAGAAGAAAACCCCACAAGTTTTCCATTTTCTTAAAGTAGGAGAAAAAAAAAAAAGGAACAATAATTATTATGATTAAGATGGTAATAATAGTGCTTATGGGATGTGTGGACTGTTTTACGTGTGTTCCCCTCTGTGGCTGGGTTCCTCCGATGCTTATTCTAGAACACAGTGGATCCTTTTTGAATGTTGTGGAAGGGCCAGGAGTTCCTGTGAATCCAGGATACTGCAGCTTTATAAAAGTTAAACAAACTGTAACATATCTCTTATATATTAAAAACGTTTAAAAGTTTTAAAGAGAAATTGCATTAATACAGATTGAAGTATTTTATTCTTTTTTGACTTGAAAAATTATATTTCATATTGCAAAGATGTTTACAAGTATTTTAATTTAAGTTCAGTGAACTTTTTTGTAGCTGGGTTAAATCTTTTTATTTTAGTATGGCCTTATGGCAAAGAACACTGTATTATTTTAATAACCACACAATTGTGATGAAATTACAAAACCATAAAATGTGTAATGTTTTGAACAGTATTCTGTTGGGATGGAGATTTTATAGGTTCAGACAAATCTTCTAGATTTGCTTCACCCAGCATATTTTCTATTCAGTGATATAAAGCATATTTTATTCTATATTATTACAAAAAAAAAAAAAACGGAAACGTATAAACACGTCAAAAGGAACTGTGGATGCTTTCTAACATTTGTATAAATAGAATTCCGTGCAAGCTACGAAAATTCTGTTGGGCCACTATAGTTTTAGTATTCCTATTTTAATACATTTGTTTACCACTTGTTTATGTATATGTAGGTGACGTTACTTGAGCTTAAATGTACTTTACTGAGCAAAGTTTAAAAAGCAAAGTATATTTTATTTTATGATAAAGGGCCTTTAACCTCATGGTCAAATACTAATATTATATTTGCTGAGACAAGATTTGAAATTGTATCAAGAGTTTTATTTTTCTGACATTTAAAGTTCTACATAATAAAGGTAAGACTTAAGTAATGGTGCTACTTTGTTTTTTAAGTATTTCTATATAAATAAAATATTGAAGAAAATCTATCTTGTGTGGCGGCTTGGTGTTGTTTTGTTTTTGTTTTTGTTTGCTTGTTTGTTTCTAAGCCCCTTGGAGCCCACTTGTGTAAATCACTTTTAAGTGGCTGGTGAAAATGTATTCATTCCAGGCATATGATGTCAGTATTTTGTCAATAGAATGGGCTTTCAAAACAGGCCAGAGTTGTGAAGAGCTGAACGTATAGACTGTGGGTAACTTTATTTATTTATTTTTTTTGTAATTGCACGCTTCTACTGAATCAGGGCTCACTTCCCCATTAGACATAGCAGGCACGGTGCCTAGGGCCCACGACACTTTTCAGGGGCCCAGCAAAAAATGTTTGATTGCTTTCAAAATCAGAAGAGAGAAAACCCAAAAGCGATGAAATTCTTCAAAGGAAACGTTTGAATTTTCAGGTCCACGAGAACCTATTAAATTTTCCTGAAACACAAAGGAAATAAAATGTTAAAAGTAAAGTTACATCAAAGATACACTTTAATGTTGATATTATTATGCAGGAAGGAGCCCAGGACACAAGAGTGCTTGGAGCCTGGCAAAGCTATAATCCCGCCCGGCCTGGCCCCTTCCGGGTACAGGGAGCCTAAGGGCTGTGTTTGCTGTTGGAAGTTTCCATGGAGGGTCGCTTCTTGGGGGCAGCTGCGCAATGACGGTTTCTGCTTGCAGAGGACCCCGCTGAATGACGGTTTCTGCTTGCAGAGGACCCCGCTGGATTTGAGGACTGGTCTTAAGAGGCTTCTGCTGGAAAGACAAACTAATTGGTGTTGACAGGCTGAGGGGGTTAACTGTTTGTTGTTGTTCGAGAGAAGTTTTTTTGTTTTGTTTTTAGCAGACCTATACCTGCTGCCTGGCTGTGGGGCTTTGTCAAATGATGGGGCCACCGTGTTTCACTTGACCTGAGCTCTGTCTTCTAGAGAGTATTCAGATATGACCGGGCCATGCCCCTGAATTCCCAGCAAACTTTCCAGCGGATCCACTGCCCCCGGAGAACCGTGTCTGCCCAGACTGTGGCAGGCTTCTCTTTTCATCTGTGCGGATGGGTAACATTCAGCAGGTGAGTCCAGACCGTGGGCTACAATATATATTCAGTGGGGGTTCCTCTTTTCCCTTTGTATTCATTTCTATCTGTCCAGAAATTTAGCAACGGCCTTGTCCATCGTCGCTCCTGATTTGTTTGGTTCAAATGCTGCCGTGTAAAGGCAGGAGGCTGGAATTTGGGGTGGGAAGGGAAAAAGGAGTGGCCCGGCTTGGGAAATTTCTGGCATCATCTCCAGCCTCTGGAACGTTCCCAGATGGTGTTTACCCCCTGGCCGAGGCCTGGCGAGAAGCAGTGTTACAGTGTTTCCCACCTTTCCTGTTAACTGTTCAGAAATGCCTAGAACAGAACCAAGGTTCCTTTTACACTTACCTCTTCGGCCATGTAACTGCTTTTCTGCTCCAGCAGAGTGATTACAGAGAGGACAAGGAAAAAACAAAAGCCTTGACGGAATTTCTCATGGGCTCTTCCTCACACGTGGAGATTTTCTTGGGGTCCATATGCTGCTTTGGAAAATAAAAAAAGATCAGGTCTTGAGGCTGCTGACATACGCTTTGAGTGGCCCACATACCTTTGTGGGGAGAGGTTCCCTTGGTTGACATGGAGTTTGGGGATGTATTATTAATAAATGTTGGTTTCTCGGGAGAAAGAGCTTTCTCTCTTTTAACCCATTGGTTTCCCCTGCGGGGCAGGCCCTGGTCACCGGCACAGGGCGTGGAAAAGGCTAGTGGGATCAGACTGGCATTAGCTTTTGATCCGAGGCAAGCCTTCTGTCCCATTCCCCAGATCCCCCAGGTGACGACCCTGAAGGTGGCCACGGGCTGCGCAGGTGACCGTCCTCCAGCTGGAGAGGCGAGAGAGGCTATATTGGTGCCCCCTCTGAAATCTCTCTGGTCTCTGAAATTCCAGCTGGCAGACAGCTTTCCCCACGCTATTTCTTTATCTACTGCTCAGCGGGGGTGGGTTTTGCACCCCCCCCCCCCATTTAGGCAGTCTCGGGGGACATTTTTGGGTGTGACAATTGGGGCTAGTGCTCCTGGCATCTCGTGGGCAGTGGTCAGGGATGCCGTGAAATGTCCCACGAGGCACAGCAAGGAATCATGCAGCTCAGGGTTTCAGAAACCCTGGTAGAGACAAAGCAAATGTATCTTTCCTGCCGTTTATTCACCGCCTTGAAATTGGCGATACTGTCCTGGTGTTTGAACGCATCTGGGATTCTCCGCTAGCCAGGGTCGCTCTTGCGGTGTCAGGAATGTGGTGGGGGAGCACTGGGCGTCAACGCGAAGGAACTTGTTTTACCCGCCAGAGTGGTAGATTGCACCCAATTAATAATAATAACGCGCACACGGGATGTTCAAAAGCCCTGTTACCTCCATTCTCTCCTGTGGATCTTACCACAGCGCGGAGGAGGCGCCATTGACATTTTGCAGTGCCTATTTGCGGTAAAATGCAAATACTCGAAATGCAGTCTGCACAAACACAATCCTGGGTGTTCTCACCCGGGCTCACGCTCTTCCTGCCTCGTCAGGCTGAAGTCATTTTATGGAGAATTCTGGGAACGGATCTGTTGTCAGCAGCCTTTCCCCTTTCCCTGCAGCTTGGGTCCCGAGTCGCCTCTCCGGAAAAGCTTCTTTATCTTCGGTGAATTTCAGACACGAGGTAAGCCAGACCTCGTATCTCGAAAGCCTTATCTTTCCAAGAAATATGAACAAGTTTGCCCCCTCTCAACGGGGTTCTGAGCCCGCTGGGCCACACAGCGCTGGACGTAGTCGTCTGTAAAGCTTTCGGGGGACAAGGTAACTCGGGAAGAGGTGGATGGCTGGGGGTCACTGTCACCTTCAGAAGGTCATTTCCTCGCCCGCTAGGGAGCAAGGGCCCTTCAGGTGCTGAATGTTGCCTACCTTTGCCTGCCTCCCTCCCCTGATCCGGTCACAACCTGCCCCTGCCCCCTTACTAAGGGCTCGTCCCCCACTGTTAAGGCCCTCCTGCTTTCCAGAAGGGAGGAAGTGGAAGGGGGGGTAGTTAAGCACCCCTTACAGGATTGTGACAGTCTATTGAGCCCTCACTCTGAACTCCGCTCGGCGCTCACCCAGCCCAGTGGGATGTATGTGAGTAAACCCATTTCAGAGATAAGGAGACTGAGTTGTCGAGCAGTTCAGTGACCTACCTAGGGCCAATAAGCCCCGGACTAGGATTCCACCCTGGATCCATCTGAGTCCAAAGCCCCTATCTACACCGCTAGAAAAAAAATGGCTTTTCCAGGAGAGCCCTCATCCATCACATAATAGTCAAGCATGGGAATGATGGTTTTCTTTTCTTTCTTTCTTTCTTTCTTTCTTTCTTTCTTTCTTTCTTTCTTTCATGTTTATTCATTTTTGAGAAAGAGAGAAACAGAGTGCGAGCAGGCGAGGGGCAGAGAGAGAGAGAGGGAGACACAGAATCGGAACC